TATGTTGGTACCTTGGTATGTGACAACAGCATGGGGATCGTCTGTAGGAGTATGATCTATAATAGTGACAAGACAAATAATGCAGCCAGTGGTAATACATGTAATCACAGTCAGAGCTAGCCGGTGACGAATGCCTCGAAGATATGACACTGATATGACGGTGGTAATAAGACAGATGAGGAGACCACCTTGGAGAATGAGGCAAGTGTAGGGACATCCTCGAAGAAGATCAGGATGTTCGCCTATCCCAATGCCCCAAGTACTCCCTAAATGCCTCTCTGCGTGGAGATCTTGTGGCATGCCTAGAGGATTCGGCAGTGCAATGGTGATAGCTGTGTCTCGTAGGAGAAAGCTGCACCGGCGGGGATGGAGAGGGAGTGGGGGAGAATGTCGGGGATGGTGAGATGGATATGCATCGAGTGTGCAACTTCTGTGCCGCTTTTGTCGGTACCGGTCTCTGAGCCCTTTCTGGTGTCTGCTCAGTATGCAGTTCACATCTTATGGAAGCTGATATGCACGGCACTGTGGCCAGCACCGAGGTGCACGGCACAGTGGCTGGTGCCAAGGTGTATGGCACTGCTGTCAGGGTTGGAGATTGTGACACTATGGTCGGTGCCGAAGCACAAGACACCGAAGACGGCACCGAGGCGCATGGTTCTGCTGGCAACGGTGAGTGCCCTGGTGTTAATGGTGGCGAGAGTGAAGATGGTGCCGACAATTGCAGTACCGCGGTTTCTTCGGGTTGTTCCCTCAGCACCAGTGAGGGTCTCGGTGCCGACGGTCTTGGTGCCAACGAGGTGGACCTCTTGGATTTTGACGCAATAGAGGTCTTTGCCGTCATTGGGGGAATGCCACTCATGCCGGGCTTGTCCCCTTTGCTGACCCTGCTTACAGGCACGGCAGGTAGTCATCTTGAGGGTGACACCCTGATTTTCTTCATGGCCGTAGCCCCAGAAGAAGCCCTGCGCTTCTGCACCATAACGGACTCTGAGCTGGCTGGTAGGGTGAGGTCCATGGGTGAAGGGTTTTATCAAAGAGGATCATTTTAAGGCGCATCTCTGTCCCTTCACACTCGAACAGTAAGCTTCAAGCACTGTGCACACTTCTGAGGGACGTGCGCCTCGCCCAGACAGTGAACGCAGCCCGCGTGGCCGTTGGATGCGGGCATGGCTTTGTGGCACGGCTTTGTGGCACATTGAACACTTTTTGAAACCTGGAGAACCAGGCATAGCTTTAGTTTTTAGATTGTCCTATTACAACTAAGTAACACCGAACAATAAACTATGAACTCTAAAGGTTTGGGTTTTTTTTTTTAAAAGGAAAAACAGATAACTATACTAATGACTAAAAAAAAACTATGAACAGACTATGAACGAACTAACTATTTCTGACAAAGGCAAACCAGTTGAGACTAACTATGCTCTGACTGCAAGTGAGGACGGTTGAGAGGAACTGATGGGTGCTGGACTATGCGCAATCGAAGGGCGTGAACAGTGAGAGATGCTAATCGTGCATACGCAGTCAGGCTGACTATGGCTATAGAAAATCTCCAACCTGCGGCGCTGGGAGAAGCTCGACAACAACAATTGAGCACCCATGGGGACCATTCGAAGAACCACCAACTGATATAAGTAATATTCCATACAAGACATTACCTTTTGTTGTTAGATGTTCTCTCATGGTTTTCCATCCTCCGCCTACCCTCCTCTCCCCCAGCAGCCTTTTAATAGCTACTCCATGTTTAATCTTACTTGTGTTATTTCAAAAAGACTAATGTTCTGTTGGAGCAAGCTAATTGTTTTCAGTTTCCTTTTAACAATGTTTTTACAAGGGTTCACAGTGAAGCAGTTTACAATACAGGTTGAACCTCTCTAGTCCAGCACTCTCTGGTCTGACAATATCCAGGGCCCGGCATGAATTTAATTAGCCTGATGACCACTTATCATGGGTATGGCCAAGTTTCTCACAGTCCCATAGTTTCTTTACAGCCACCGTCCTACCTCATTTTTCTGTGCTGTTATTTAGCTCTAATTTACCCCTAAACGTCTTCTAAGAGCCCAGTGAGCAATAGAAGTGTTGGTAATGGTGCTAGACAATAATGACCTCCAGTGATTCAGCAAATTCTCTGCTTCAGCTTCAGTTAGTTCCTGAGGGTGCCAGACTAGGCAGGTTCAATCTCTAACAGTTTATACAGTTTAATATTTCAGAACTTCACACCACATTTTAGCAGCATATGAAAATAAATTTAAGTTTAGCTATTTTCACTTGAATGTGCTTTCAATCACACATGCGGATTTGCAGAAAAACATGCATTAGTCCAATTTTATAATAAACAGTTGCTTTTAAAACACTAAAGTCTCACTTGTGTGTCATACTGAAGAATGTATTCTGCCAATTATCTTTTTTGTGATTTGTTCTACAATTTAGCATCAGAGACAGACAATATCACTATTTCTCAGGAGACAGAAAATCAGAATATTTCCAGTTGCATGTAATATTTTCCATTTTACTAAATATTTAAACAGCATTCCAATACAAAACATTTTTCAGAGCAACCTATAATGAACTGGGGCCTGATTTTCAGAGATGTCAAGCATCCACAGCTGTGGATGGCTCCCAGGAATAAAGCTGTGAAGGCTCCCAGGAATAAATAGCAAGTTGAATGCTCACATGATAATTCAAGAATACATTACAAAGAGACATTAATGCAACGAGGATGCTCAATTTTGTGGAGGCTTCAAATTTTGTATTAGATAAGTATAATGTAAATTAGGGATGTTAACTAATGTGTATTTGTATAAATGTGTAACCGCTAGATTTTTTTTTAGCAGTTACACATTTACACGCCTGGGGAGGGAGGCGGGGGGGCAGGGGCTGGTGCACACGGGGAGCTGGCTTTTAAGCTGGCTCCCACCTGCTCCCACCCCTGATAAAGAGACAGCAGCACAAGAGGTAGGCAGCTCTGCGGGCACCAGCTCCCATCTCCCCCCACCCCTTGCTGCCTCTGATACCATTATGATTAATCAATGAGCCCAAACTTATCGGTTAATCATGTAAATGGCTACATACTAACATCTCTACTGTAAATGGGTGCAGAAAGCATTTTGGGAGTTCCAATTCATTTTATATCCATACTTCATTAGAGAAGGCAGAGATCTTCAACCTTTTTATGCCCAAGATCACTTTCTGAATTTAAGGGCAACCCAAGATCTACCCTATCCCTTCCCTGAGTCCTCACCCTTTCCCAAAAGCCCCGTACTCCTTATTCCACCCACCCACACCCCTACACCCCCATTGCTTGCTCTCCTCCATCCCCACTCACTTTTACCAGGCTGGGACAGGGGATTGGGGTTAGCAGCAATTCACTGCAAGAAAAAAAATAAATCAGCTACCAAAGTTATATCTATTTACAAATGTAAACTAATGAGCTAATGTAGCCAAGACTCATAATATAAAGCTTAAGAGGAGGAAACATTCTGATGTATTGTAAAATCAATCACTCCAATAAGAAAAAACACTCTAGTTCCTTAAAGCATATGCATGAAACAATACCCACAAGAGTTGTTTTTACAACACCATGTATTTTTTATGGAATTAATTTTGTCCATAACCAGTGTGAGAGTGCTGGGCTACAGCAGCTGAGCAAGGACTCAGGTCACTGCAGCTCTAATTAAACACTTCACAACAGACTTTGTTAACAAGAGCTGTGCCTCACTGGTGTGTGGAGGACAGCTAGAAGGCTAATTAAGGCATTAGGCAGAGAATACAAAAGGACACAGGAATGAAGTAGGAAAGGGAAGCAGGAAGTGAGGAGGGTTCCGTAAAATTGAGGGTTCCCTAAAATTGTAGGGTAAGACTGCATAATGTTCAAGGGTACTAGAAACCAACATTATAAACAAACTGTACTGGGCATTTTACCAGCATAAAGGTCTCTGAACTCCACTCCCCATGGCCATTGTTCTACCTGGCTCCGGGAGCTAACCCTGCTGCAGCTCTGCCTTTTAAATGTAGTAAGGGCCATCCAGCTCTTACAACATTTAAAAGTCAGAGACGCTGTATCTGAGACCGGGCGTGCCTGAGCCCCTGCTGCGCTTCTGCCTCCCCTGCCCTCCACGGAGACGGTGCTGGAGGGAACCAGCTGTTAAGCCGGCTCCCCCCAGCACCAGCTCCTGTTCTACTACTCAACTAGTTGCTTATATCCCTATTTCACACCTTGAGCGACATAGCGATGCGATGTGTGTCTCTAGTGTAGAACTCTTCTCAGTCATCAGCTACCTTTCCATCATTGCAACTGCTTCTTTGGAACTTTATGAAAAGCTAATTGTTTAGTAGTCCTTGATAACCAGATGATGCCACTGACAGAATTGAATTTATGTGATTTATGTGCATGTTATTCAATGCTATCCAAGTGCTGAATATTTATATTTGTCACGATTAGGTAGATGTAAAAAGGTGTGTATAAGAAGTCAGGACACTAAAATTGTCAGCCCACAAAGAATGTGTACTTTTTTCTTGAAATCTGAGGAGCTCTGCAAGTTTGACTCTCTCACCAACAGAACTCAAACCAATAAAAGATGTCACCTCATCCAACTTTTCTAATATCCTGAGACCAACATGACTGCAATGACATGGCATTCAAAAAAGGGATATAAAGGGTAAATAGATCTTCAGCTTCATAACTTTGGAAGCATATTCAGTGACATTCCCAATGTGGATGAAAGGTTTATCCTTTTGACATTCCTGTTAGATCAGGTCACTATCAGAGGTACCTTTGCAACAATCAACATTAGTGACAAAAATACAATAGGGCTGTTCAAGCCAAGCTTCATATGGCAATAAAGCATAACCCTGTCAAAAGAATGCCACAACAGTAAGCTATAACCAAGATTTAACCTCAAGAACTACTCACTGCTATATCACCTTGCATGAATAGCTCCTAGTCAAAGTATGTCTTGCTTTACAAATACAGACAGATAATTGTATTTGATCATGTTTCTTACCTATAACAAGTAGTTCCATATGGACATTCAGGTCTGTCATCATCATCTTGGCTTACAACCTCCATATTCTGATAATCGCTGTCACCAGGGTGACTGAACTCCTGAAAATGAACTGGATTCTTCCTGTGAAATTAAAGAATATATATGTAAGTAAAAGTAAATATGACATTCAACACTCATGTGCATATTGGGATGGGGAATTTTGTGCAGCTAATTCAAACAGATTCATATTCAACAATGCATAGTTATTCATCTGTTGGAGACATAGGGTCTGTGTCTAGACTACAAGGTTTTTTCGAAAAAAGGAGCCTTTTTTAAAAAAAAACTGTACCTGTCTAGACGACAGCCACGTTCTGTTGACAGTAAATCAAAAGAACACGGCGGTTTTTCCGATGGCAGTAAACCTCATTCTACAAGGAATAACACCTTTTTTCGAAAGTCATCTTTCGAAAAAAAGGCGCTACTGCATGAAAACAGGGCTTTTTTGAAAGAGAGCCTCTAGACTCTTTCGAAAAAGCAAGCCGCTTTTTCCAAAAATCTTCTTGTTCTCTAGACACTCTTTTTCGAAACAGTATCTTTTGAAAAAGCCTCTTTCAAAAGAGGCTTGAAGTCTAGACATAGCCATAGAGTTTAACCAGTCAACCAGGATTGCATGCTGCAGGGCTGCTCCGACCACGCTGGGCCTACCACACGTTGCCCCAGGTGGGGAAGCTGCTTGGGCCACGCCACCAGTTAACCCTTTACTCCCCTAGTCTGACTAAGTCCTAGCTATCCAGAGATGTGGATGTGGATATCCAGGGCTCATTTCTACTGACACAGAAAGATAAATTTTCCATCAAAAACCCTGCAAATTTGTGGATATCCACAGGTTTTCCCTGGGTGTGGATGTGGATATCTATAGGTAACTTTTGCAGATGAAAATGTAGATACAAATTCTGTATATATGCAGGGCTCTAGTGAAAGCAAATTCTATGCCACAGATAAGCCAATATTTCCCTTGTCAATGTAAGAACAACATACTAATTCTCTCCATTTTTTTTTTTAACAACAATTAAGTTTCTACTTTTTGAAAGCACAGGAAATTCAGAAAAAAGTAAAGATACACCATATCTAATACAGTGTTGAAATGGCTGAATTCTATAATAAACTCTGGGACAGTGGGGAACGCTAATGTTCAGTTAAGAGAAAAAACATGTTGTTCTGGTCAAGTGTAATATATTACTTACAAGAATATTTTATGCATCTAAAAAGACTCACAAGCTATGGCACTTTGCAAAATAAAAGCTTTAAATTACACTTAATATAAATGAGTTACTTAGTACCTGCAGCTTTAATCATTTATAGAAAACTTTAGTTATTACAGATCCATTTGCTGCTAAACAAAACCAACACATGAACAAAAAATGAGAGTTACTTTAAAAAAAGATCAATGGAATTAACCACCAACAAAAGTCTTCCTGCTGTGACAATAAGCTATTTACTACATATTTTTAAATTCCTGTGTAGCTAAAGGATCTTTAATCAAACCAGTTACAAACTGAATTTAGAGGATTTGCATCAATAGATTGGATATTCATCATAATTTATTTCCTAGAAGGCACAAGCAACAAGCTCATTTGGAATGCTTTTTTTAAAAAAAAATACGGTGACTTTGCTGCTACACAATAGCCACCAACCAAGTCCCATTAACAAAAACGTGGGCACAAGCCATTGCTACTGCAGCTATTAGAATACTGATTGAATGGTTTAAGTCTAAAATTCTGATCTACTAGAGTTAATTATAACATCTCTCAACATTATGTTTACTGGGAGAGCTCCAAGAACACATGCAAGAAATGTAACATTATCAAATGCTGGGCTAAATTTCATTTTAAAGAAAACTGAAAATACTTCATTTTCAAAAGGGAATACAATGTAAAATATTTAGAAAGATGTGTATGTGAAACCAACTGTTCCTATGGGTCCTGTTCTGCCAGATCAGACAGTATGTTCTATATCAGTCCTTCCTAAGCGAAGTCACTTTGTGATTAGTATCCCTTGCCTTACAGAGTTAATGGCTTCTGACAGAATTCTTGACAAAAACAGCAATCTTATTTTAGTATCAGCAAACTGAAAAGACTAAAATACACAAGTTTCCAATGAAGAGAATATGAATTAATAGGAATTGCAACAAAATGGATTTACCAATAAAGATTTTAAAACTTGGTATTAATGATTATGCTATTAATGATTCTCTCATTTGTTAATTCAACAAAAATCATATTACAACTTTGTATCTTAACCCTCATTTTCTTATGAATGACCTCAGGGAAAACAGAAACATGGTACAGTAATAAGTTATTACTGATCATGCAAGTGGAGTCAAGATACTCCTCCACTGTTCTTTCAATGTGATCACCCACCATTCTGTAAAACCCTGTCTCAACTTCCTTGGCAATAGTTTTTCCTTACTATAGGCTATAGACAGTATGGCCAGATTGTTCTCCAAAGTCTAACCTATAACTAATATTTTAAAAGACTTCTTTACACCAGTCAACCTTATTGTCTGGCTTAGCAATACTCATGGCTTGACAAGCCTTTTGTTATTGTAAAAGTCTATGGAGGGCAAAGGGAAGTAGAGGAGAAAAAGGAACTACAGAACAATTCGTAAGGCACTGTGAGGCAGGTGGCACAGTAGATGAAGGAAAACATAGAACTCTGCATCTCAGCTGGACAAGGAGAGAAGGGGAGGCTAAAGGAAGCACTCTGTACAGCTAATAAAAGCTTCTCAGGCCATTAACAACAGGAAGCATTCCAACATTTTGCACAGATCATACACTATAAGACTGAACAAGTCTTGGAAAGATCTTGAAGTCTTCCTTGGATCAGTATTGCAAAAGAGATAAGGGGAACCCGAGGAAGTATAGAGTTTCTGAATTGCTCCATTTTATTCTCCAAGCAAGAATTAACATATAAAAAACCTTCAAGTTTAAATTAAGGTAGCTACTAACAAATAGACACCAAGTTATATTATGGTAAAACAAAAGCATGTTCAAGTATGAAGAGACCTGTGCAGTAACCATGGTTCTTTGAAACGTGTCTCCCTCTCCCCCCCACCTCCCATAGGTGCTTCACTAGGTATCTACTGAGCAGTTCCCTTGAGGTATATGGGGCTTCAGAGAAGAGTACAACATGGAAAAAAGTACAGCCAAGGCAAACACGGTACCAGAAGCAGTACTAAGTTATAGTATAGTATTCAGTGAACATATGAATATACGTCCAAGTAGCAGCTTTACATAATTCAATAAAGGGCAGGTTTTTGAGAAATGCCATAGAGGTGGAAATGAATGTTATAGATTGAGTTTGTATGTCTGAAGGTGCTTGAATAGAAGACTCACAGCATGAATTAGTCCGGTCAGATATCCCCTGGAAAGTATTTGATTAGAGACCGCAAGCCCTTTTGATAGATCTGTGAGTAAGAAACAATTAGAGAGTCTTGCTCAATGGTTTAGTCCTATTCAGATAGAAGGGAAGAGCGCTCTTGACATAAAGGGTGCACAAGTGCCTCTATTTTATTTAAATGAACTTTAGGGTGGAAAAATGGCAGGTGAACAGGGTTGGTTGATACAGAACTCAGAGACTTTAGGTAAAAATACGGTGAAAGGGGTAGGGATGTTAAATATAGGTCACTTAATGCAACATTGGTAGAAAGTGATTGTTAAACCCCCTGAAGGACTTCACTGTTGAGTGGGCAAAAACAACTACTCACTATTTGAGAATGGAAAGCAATGATAGCTGCCAGGTGGACTCAAACAGAGTTTAGCAATAGCAGTGAACTTTTTAGTGTTGGGTTATATTCTAACGAGGTCATCAATGGAATATGTTTGAGGTCACAGCAATGGACAAATTTTGTCCCTTTTTGAAAAAGTGTAGTGAATAGATTATTTTCTGCTGGGTAATAGTACTTTTTTACCTTTTTTGATTAGGTTGTGTCTAATCCCATGAACCATCAACCAACCATGTTTTGAGACAAAGCACTCAGAATGAGGTGAAAGATCTTCCTATTAGAGGAGATGAAAATGGCCTGGAGAGCAATCAGTGAGCAAATGACCAGCTATATTAGGTAAGGAAACTGTTTGAGCCAGGTCAGAACCATTAGGATAACTCTGGTTTTGTTCTTTTTCCTTTTAAATAGAACATTGGCTAGCTGAGAAGTGGGTAGGAATACATACAAATAGATACAATGAAAGTGAAAGACATATTCCAGGGATCTGTGACCCAGACTGCTTCTGGAGCAGGGCACATCTCTTGCTTTCTACTGTAATAAACAAGTCTCTCTGGGAGGTGTCCCATTGCCAGACTATGTGGTGGATCTCCAATGGCCATTTTTTTTTATGCTAGGGCACGGATGAAGCTAGTAAGGATAGAACTAGAAAGGATGAAGATGGCAATTCAGACACTTGACCAGCCCATCAAAATTACTACCTGAAAGTGAAAGGGTGATAAGCCAGAGACAAAACAGTAAATGGCTTCCTTCTTGGGTGTATCTTTTCATGTGGTTCATTCAGTCAGAGATTGGGAATTGGACAGAATGGGACCTCTCAGCTGTCTGGGACGTACCAAACATTCTCTTGTATAAATCCCAAGAGAATTCAAAGTAGACCTAGAGTTCTTTATGATGCACAGAGAATCATCTGTGTTGCTTGCAGACAGTTTGGACCTATCAAAAAGAAGGTCTTCTACTGTATTGAGGATTTCTTTCTGAAATCTGGAGACCTGAAACCAAGAAGCCCTTTTCACAACTGCCACTGTAGAAATCAAAACAGGTGACAATATCAACAGAGATGCTTGTAATGTTCTCTCAAACAGCTGGCCTTACCCAATAATTGCCTGGAATTGCTTTCTATGCTCCACCAGAAAGCGGTCAACAAGAGAGAGAGTTCAGTTTGGTGTAATTTATATTATATTTCACCATTAACACCTTGTAGTTCACAACTCTAAATTGAAAGGAGGCTAAGGAAAAAGATTTTCCACCAGCTAGCCCTAAACGCTTATGATTTTTATCATGAGCAATTATTTTGTATGGTGCTGCCTTCCATGTTTGTAATCTGCGGTAACCAGTCTCAAGCATGTGCACACAGAACCTCCTTTCTTCAAGGACATAGGAATCAGAACTCAGTCTTAAAAAGGTGAAGTTATCAGTAAAACAAAGACAACATATTTGGTAAAGCACACTTGGTTGCTACGTGTTACAAAGCAACTGGAAAAAAAAAGATTAAAGCACAGAGAATTGGTTCCCTGGGATCCAGTTTTAAAGTTACAGTATATGGGTGAGGGGTACAGGGGTTCAACAGAGAGGAGTTCACTAGCTAAATAGATAAAATAACCTGATCGCATCTAACTAAACATCCCCTGTTCATTTACATATCTGCTGTTCCAAGGTTTGGTCTTTCCTAGGCATGGAATGTTGCTGGAAATTCTATGCCTTGTTCCTGGCTCAGTCTCTCTCCCAGCTCTCCTCTGCTCACACAAAAACTGAAGCAGTGAGCTGCATGCTGCAATTCAAATGTCAAGCTCTCTTCCCATTGGCTCTCCTGGCTCCCTGCCAACACTTCCTGGAGATGCTCAGGGACCCACTGTACCTGGGTTTACCCCTTACAGGCAGTTTTCTTAACTGAATGGCTGAGACACTTGAAAAGGGAGTATCTCTCCCATTCATCACAGATGCACACTGAGCTGACTACCCAAATGGACACCGCTATGAGAAATCTCTCCTCAGATGTTCAGTGTGCACAAGTGTACCTAGAGTGGAGCTCCCACAAGACATTGCCAAAAGAATTAACTGTTAGGGGAAAGCAGAACATTCACTTGCTTCTATAAAGGCATACACAAAATATTACACTTAAAAAAAAATCTTTGTTAATAAAATACACAAGAGTTTTTCCTCTCCAATCCAATTAATTTCACCTACTGATCTTGTAACTGCCTGGTGCAAACTGTTCTATTGCTTATTGAACTGTAGCTTCTAATTTGCTGAACTACTTCACCCCTGCTGAGATTGTATTGATCAGTCAGTAAAATTTCCTGAATATCGCTTTTTCTGCTTCTAAAAAGATTGCAACTCTACCTGATCTTTTCTAATCCTTTACTTTTACAATTTTTTTAAAAGGAGACTAACGATTTTACAATTATCTCCCACTTGGGAGAAGCAGTCACTTGCTAGCAGCCATTTAAATCTATCCGATTTACAATTCTGCTTTACCTGTAACAACCTGTCCCATACATACAGGGTGTCCTCTTCTGCTTCACGTATTTAGAACTCTGTAGAGCATCTGTGCTTCTGGCTGAGTTAAAATCGTCAGCTTTAGGATCCTGATTTAAATCACGCTTTTGAGTCTCAGCAAAGGAAATATTAGAGTGGGATGTCTTGTCCTGGTGAGTCTGTTGGCTTGCTGAATGGATCATCTCATCTTTCTTATCCTTTTCATCTACTTCCTTTACTTCAGTAGAGAGCTTGTTTTCTGAATCTAGCCTGTGTTCTGAATCTAACCTCTTGCTGTGGAGCGGACAATCTCTTTTCTCCACAGAACTCTCAATCCCTTGTGATGCTGATTTGTTTTCATTCTCTTCCACTTCCCTCATAGCCGTGGTAAGAGGTATTCCAGATGCATCCTGTGAAACAGAAATTAAAAGATCACAACGATCTTTAGAGTGTCTTATTGTGCAAACAGTATTACAGCTCACTCATGGATTACTGTACTTCTAACTGTAAGCAGGTTTCAGACTCGGTCATCATCAACACTCAGGACATATGTTCCTAAAGAGGAGATGATGCATTCAAGTATGATTTTTTTAAGCTGTATTTATAATAAAAATTTAAATCAGATTTGAGTAGATTGACAAATTGTTTCAGGTGGGAAATAGAGATACGAATGTTTAACCTGTTAAGATTAACTGATGGGAGTTGGAGTAGCTCCACATCTGCCGTAGGTTAGGCAGGGGGCTGCTCTAGCCCCACGCAGGGCTCACCTCAGACAGAGGCTATCTGGAGCAGCCCGTCTGCACCAGGCCTGAGCAACTCCTGTGTCTATATTATGTCTAAATAAACCACAAACATTTAATCCCAAGCACAGTAGTCTCAACAAAGAAAAGAACAATTAAAAACCATTGTCCATAACTTTTTGCTTGTTATGCTCGTGGCAATCTGGTCAGATGCATGCTTTCTGGTGGCTGACAGCAGCTAAGAGTGAATCAGAGGAAATTCTATATGTAAACCAAATAAATGATTTCTTCCCCTTAGTTAAGTATAGTAGTAGAGGAATAATGTTTACAGGCTGATGCACCAGAGTTTTATGGCTCATCTGGTAATTAGCGTTTCCTTGTTTGAACGAAGCATGTTAGATACAGTGTAATTGAATAGTCATGTAACTGCATGAAACCTCAGTTACACAACTATTCGATAGTCCCCAGGGACAAGGGACTATCAGGCAGCAGCACGGAGTGGCAGGTGGAGATGGTCCACAAGGGGAGCCAGTTTAAAAATGAGGTTAAAGACCAAATTTTAAACGCAGAGCATGCAGGGGCAGAGGAGGAAGAGGAGAGGAAAGTAGGTGTTGCAGTTAACCAGGAGCGTTAACTGACAAGCAATTGTGTATTGGTTAAATGGTTAGCCAACTAGCTGCTAACATCCCTAGTGCTTACTAATATATTAAGTTACTCAAATTGCACAGCAATGGATTCAGCATGAGCAATAATGGAGAAATTTGATAGAGGAGGCAGGATGTGATCTCCGTTATGAGCTAAAGATTGTACAACACTGGTAAGGCAAGTTTTATCTGGAATAAATGTTTTATCCTGAGATAAAGAGCTGAAGAGTGTTATACATTATCTGAACCACTTGTAAAGCTCTCATGCTGATAACCACACTTCAATAATACTTGAAATAATGGGGCTCAGCAACATATAACAAAATTACCCTTGCTTCGGGGACAGTGGTTTCCTCTTCAGTAGTTTTGCTCTTCTTTACCTGATCTTGTTCCATCTCTTTGAAATCCCCTAAACACTCTTCAGAAGCTAACCGTTTTCTCCCATGCATATCTGCTCTCGACTTTGATGGTTTCATACTGCTTATTCCTCTCCCTCTGCCTTTTGTTACTCCACCACCTTAAAGAAAAGAATAATATTTATGGGATCCAACCTTGAATGCTACATTTGGCTGAGTATCCTGGCCAAGTCAGGTAGTAACATACTATCGATACCTCTGCTACAGTTTCAGCTGAATACAGTAGGTCTTTACTTGCTGTTCTCCCCGTTCAATTTAAAATATACAAAATTAACTTCTATTAAAAGATTATTTGAATAGGAGATTTCATAAGAATGATTAAGGAAGAGATTAAATGTATGGCAACACACACTGAACTCTTATTTGGCTGATGTTATAGCTTAACAACAATATAGTGGCAAAATAGTCAAGTAAATTACTTGTACAATGTGCCTTATGTAGTGTCTTACAAGAGTATCATGAAACACTGCAGGACATTCAAGTTTACCCAAGTTACTGACTCTGCTATATTGCTTTAAGTTATTTGAGAGATACTTTGAGTGTGTCTACACATCAACATTATTTTGAAATAACCAACGTTATTTCAAAACAACAAAATGCACATCTACATGGCAAGCCATTATTTTGAAATAATGACGAGATGGAGGACTTCTTACTCCAACTCCTGTAACCCTCATTTCACAAAGAGTAAGAGAAGTAAGGAAATTTGAAGGAAGAGTGACATATCTGAAGTTGCATAGCTTAATTCAATTTTGGCCCTTCTGTACAGACATGCCCTCAGTGGCCATTACACCAGGCAGCAGTGAGTGGGAAAGTGAATAGAGGACTCCCTGCTCCTCAAACAGCCTGCACAAAACTGACAAAATCTGTAGTCCCACCCACCGCATGTTTACTTCTTCTGAAACATACAGTGTCCTAAAAGAAGGGAGGAAACCAGGGCTGTAGTCCCACTCCTATTTCACCAGCTCACACAGAGGGAACATAGCAGCAGGCAAAGAAAGATTGGGGGGGGAGGGAGAGAAGGGGAAGGAAGTAAATGGGAGAAAGGGAAAAATGGATAATAGGAAGGTAAATGAAACATTTCAAGTTCATTTTACATTGAATCTGCTCCTTGAAAATAATCTACATTTTTTTTCAAAAATTAACAAAAAAATATTCAAAAAATTTCATGGAAATAAAATGGGATTTTTTTCAACTGGTTCTAGGGCAAAATCATAAAGTCTAATATTTTGGAACACACGAGATCCAGGAACAAGAGCTAGCCCCTCTTGAGTAGCTTACGATCATCTCTTACAAATGGCATAGAACTGTGGCATCAACTTGTGTAGTGCTCCAGATTATCAGGATTCACAGGTGCAATATTTGTATTTAAATCTCAATGATGCAGGACTGAATCCAGCTGGTTGCCGTGCTTCAGGGCAGCTGTTTTTTGTGATGCAGGGGAGATGGGCAGGGGAATTCTATATTTGGAGAAGAAAATTGAACATTTCTCTCATTTGCAATAAGATCTAATGATGAAGAATTAGTGAGGAAGGACAGTCAAAGATGCTTGATAAATGTGTTTGCAACAATGCTCTATAGTTTACTGCATAGCTCTGCAATTTTAGATGCATGCCTGCCTGTCATTTTATATTTATTCATATACACATCAAAACTCCCCTACATTTATCATTGTCACTTTACCTTCTAGTTGTGAAAGAGTTGCTGTTTATTTAAAGAGCATACAATCTTCACTACTGCTTGCCTAAGAAAGCTTAGTATAAACTGAACTAGATAGGGGCTCTAATATTTACCATGAGACAGAGATATTCCTTTTATTGCAACAGACATTTAAAAAAAAACTACAAACATAGGGTTCAATAGTTCATTTGAACATAGACATTTTTGTACTCGAAAAGCTCAAAATAAACCACAGGTAGGAGATAAATAATAAAAATAAATACTGAGCTGTCAACTATTTGTGCAAATCAATGCTTAAGAAGTGTATACATTGTCTTTCAGATCGAGCAAATTCCAATTTTTTTGGCAGTAGATTATCAACATTCGAGATTCAAATCACAATACGGAATTTTAATATGAAAAACAGGAAAATAAAAAACAGGTTTGCAAACTGTTTTTCAGATTAGTGTAGATGTGACATGAACTTGAATACAATTATAAGTGCATGCAGAACAACAATTTTACAGTATTAGAGCTAGAAATAGTTTTGAACCCTCTTTTCCCTAACAAAAAAATGTTTTTTCCTCTCTCCTGCCCTTCTGGGAGGCATTTAAAAACATCTGAGGAATCTCTCAGAAGGAAGGCAGGTATGGATAGTGATACAACTGCTGTTGTTACCTGCACAGCATGTGCCATGCTTGTCTTCCTCCCAGAAGAAAGGATTTCATCTGCACTAAGTGCAAGCTGATTGCCATTTTGGAAGAAAAAATTAGAGGACTTAAGGCCCAAGTATCAACCCTACGTTCCGTCAGAGAGGATGAAGACTTAGATAGAAAGTAGCATTTAATCCTGCAGGCACAGCAGGAGGAAGACCCAGTGAAAGCAGTACAGGACAAGGAAGAGAACTGGCAGTATGTAACCTCGAGAAGAAGAAGGCGGCCAACTCAAGTATCCCCCATCCCTGCAGAGGTAAGTAACTGCTTTCAGGCTCTCTCCACAGGCACTGTGGTGGAGAACGCTTTGGCAGGGACTTCTCAGGGAAGACATCAGAAGGGAACACCATCTACCAGAAGGCATGGGATATGTAGTCCTAGGGATGGGGGTTCCACGACCACTACCCACAAAGGAAGAAGATGGGTGGTGGTGGTGGGTCTGGGATTCCCTCCTAAGAGGGACTGAGTCATTCATCTGCCATCCAAACCTGGAATCTCGAGAAGTGTGCTGCTTACCAGGAGCTCACATTCAGGATGTGACTGAGAGTCTTCCAAAACTGATCAAACCTTCGGATCGCTACCCCTTCCTGCTTCTCCATGTCGGAACTAACGATATGGCCGAGAATGACCTTGAGCGGGTCAAAGCTGATTATGTAGCATTGGGAAGAAGCTAACGAGAATTTGAAGTGCAAGTGGTGTTCTTGTCCATCCCTCCCTGTTGAAGGAAAAGGTCCAGGGAGGGATCGTCAAATTGAATAAGTAAATGCGTGGCTGTGCAGGTGGTGTCGGAGAGAGGACTTTGGTTTCTTCAACCATGAGACTCTTCTGGGCACAAGGATTGTTAGGAAGAGATGGGATCCACCTAACCAAGAGAGGAAAGAGCATCGTCGCAGGCAAGCTTGCAAACCTAGTGAGGACGGCTTTAAACTAGGTTCATTGGGGGCGGTGACCAAAGCCCTGAGGTAAGTGGGGAAGTTGGATACCAGGAAGAAACACAAGGAGGAACAAGCAACAAAGGAGGACCTCTGATTCGACTAGAGAAGGTAGGGCGAACAACTGGTTATCTAAGGTGTTTGTACATGAATGCAAGAAGCCTGGGAAACAAACAGGAAGAATGAGAAGCCCTGGCACAGTCAAAGAAGTATGATTTGATTGGAATAATGGAAACTTGGTGGGAAGAATCGCATGACTGGAGCACTGTCCTGGAAGGGTATAAACGGTTCAGGAAGAACAGGCTGGGGAAGAAAAGGCTCTTCATTCTATGTAAGAGAGCAGTATGATTTCAGAGATCCAGTATATAGAGGGAGAAAAGCCTGTTGAGAGTCCATGGGTTAAGTTTATAGGTGGAAGCAATAGGGGTGATGTTGCAGTTGGTGTCTGCTATAGACCACCGGATCAAGTGGATGAGGTAGCTGAGGCTTTCTTCAGACAACTGAGAGAAGCTTCCAGATCGCAGGCCCTGGTTCTCATGGGGGACTTCAATCACCCTGACATCTGTTGGGAGACCAATACAGAAGTACACTGATAATCCAGGAAGTTTTTGGAGACTGTTGGGGATAACTTCTTGGTATAGTGCTGAAGGAACCGACCAGGGACCACACGCAGCTTGACCTGCTGCTCACAAACAGGGAGGAACTAGCAGGGGAAGCAGAGGTGGGTGACAACATGGGAAGCAGTGATCATGAGATGGTAGATTTCAGGATCCTGACCAAAGGAAGAAAGAAGAGAAGCAAAATACACATCCTGGACTTCAGAAAAGCAGACTTTGACTCCCTCAGAGAACTGATGGGCAGGATTCCCTGGGATGCTTACATGAAGTGGAAAGGAATCCAGGAGAGCTGGCAATATTTTAAAGAAGCAGGAAGAAACCATCCCGAGGCACAGCAAGAAAAGCAAACATGGTAGGCGACCAGATTGGCTTACCAGGGAAATCCTTGGTGAGCTTAAACACAAAAAGGAAGCTTACAAGAAGTGGAAACTTGGACAGATGACTATGCAGGAGTATAAATATATTGCTCGAGAATGCAGGGGAGTTATCAGGAAGGCGAAAGCGCAATTGGAATTGCAGCTAGAAAGGGATGTGAAGGGTAACAAGAAAGGTTTCTACAGGCATGTTAGTAATAAGAGGGTGATCAGAGAGGGTGTGGGGCCCTTACTGGGTGAGGAAGGTAACCTAGTGATAGATGATGTGGGAAAAGTTTTCTTTATCTCTGTCTTCACGGAAAAAGGTCAGCTTCTTTACCTCTGTCTTCACGGACAAAGGTCAGTCCATGGGTCTGGATTTAATGCATCTGAAGCTCCTGAGGGACTTAGAAAATGTCATTGCGGAGCCTTTGGCCATTATCTTTGAAAACTCGTGGAGATAGGGGAAGATCCCAGATGACTGAAAAAAGGCAAATGTAGCGCCCATTTTTAAAAAAAGGAAACAATCCAGGGAACTACTACCTCAGTCTCTGGAAAAATTATGAAGGGGATGCTCAAGGAATCCATTTTGAAGCACTTGAAAGAGGGGAAAGTGATCAGGATTAGTCAACATTGATTCACAAAGGGAAAGTCGTGCCTGACCAATCTGATTAGCTTCTATGATGAAGTAACTGGCTCTGTGGATATGGGAAAGTCAGTGGATGTGATATAGCTTGACTTTAGCAAAGCTTTTGATAGTCTCCCACAATATTCTCATCAGCAAGTTAAGGGAGTATGGATTGGATACATGGACTGCAAGATGGACA